AAAAAAAAAAAAAAAACAGCTGTGTGAGCTGGTGGGCGCCTATAATCTCAACTACTCGGGAGACTGAGACAGGAGAATCGCTTGAACCCGGGAGGCTGAGGTTGCAGTGAGCCGAGATCGCGTCACTGCACTCCAGCCTCGGCGACAGAGCGAGACTCTGTCTCAAAAAAGAAAGAAAGAAAGAAAAAGAAATGGAGAGCTACGAGCGAGAGCTTCCGCAGCATTCTGTAGGACCAAAATAGGCGCACGGGTTCCCGAGCGTGCGCCGCCTGGCAGCGGAGCTGGCCGAGGCGAGCCGCAGAGACAAGGCACCCAGAACCGACTCGCCTCCCGCCCGCTCCCGGCGGCCTAGTCAGCAGGCGGCGGAGCTGCGGCGAAGCTGACATGGCGGTGCGCCAATCACCGAAGGCAAGAGAGACAGAAGGGACCAATAGTCGCCCGAGATGTCGCCTGGCGGAAGTCACGCCCCCAAACTGTCAAGCAAAGCACCCGGTGGAAGGGGCCCAGGCCGGGGGGAGGGGGCTCCCGGCGGCCCGAGGGAGGGGAGGCCGGCCGGCGAGGACAGCGGAGCACGAGAGGGCTGCCTACACTTGGCCGCGCTCGATCCTGCCCTTATCTAAACTCCGCAACCCATAGCCCGGCCCCAGAGAATAGGCTCAGGACTAAAAGGGCTGTCCCAGCCATCCGTGCTGGCGCCTGGGGATGCAGGCCCGTCCCCGGTACCCGCCCATGCCCAGCCCGGCGACCTAGGGCCTCACCTTGAGCCGAGAGCTGCCGGACACTGTTCACGAACTGCTCCAGGGCAGACGCCATGTTTTCCCCCGGGCGGCCCGAGCGCCGAAGGCACCACGCGCGGGAAAAGGCTGCCGCTCTGGGAGGAGGGGCCGCGGCAAGCCACCTGAGGGCCTCGCGAGCGGCGACGTCACTTCCGCTGGTTCAAGCACCGCGAGAATCTACCTAGCTGCCAACCCGTTACTGTTTCCATGGAAACAGCCTCACTCGCCGTAGCCGGAAGTTAGCGTTCCATAGTCCCCGGCGTGTTCTTTCAGCGCACTTGTGAAATCCCTCCGCACGTTAAATGGGGATACTGGGCAAAGGAAGGAACCAAACTCATAATTAAGCAAGTATTCTCTGGTTCTGGATTTTGCTAGAGAGGCCCTGCGGCTTTCCACCTGGACAGATACTTCAGTGAAGCACGACTTAGTTGCTGCGTCTCCCATGAGATTTTCCGCGTGATATTAGACTCTGGAGCCAAGCAACCTGGGCCTTTTCTACCACTTAGTTGCTGTGTGACTTTGAGCAAGTCACTTGACCGTGGTGAGCATTGTTTTCCCCATCTGTAAAATCTCAATGTCCTTAACTACATAAAACACTCAGGACAGCACATAGCACATAGGGAGAACTATAGTTATTCATTCAAGATGTACGTTGACGTAAAAAAGTAACACCACACACAAAAAGAAAGTGAATTGATTTTCCCCATCTGGGATTGATGTCTCCCTCCTCCACTTGTCCCCTAAAGCACTTCGTTCTTCTCATGTTGCACTTCTACTGTGTTGTAGAAATGTGTCTCTATAGTCCATGTCATAACTGTAAACCAAAAATAAAAGTCTAAGCCCCCAACTGACTGGTGGACCCTATCCTAAGCCAAGGACATTCCAGTTTATCCTGAAAAACTAGTTCAGGCCATGATGGGAAGTGGTAGTCAGACATGCCTCACAAACATCAACACAGAGACCTTAAGACTGGTAGACTCAAGACCGATAAGAAATATTTACAATCTATTCTATCTGAATCCTGCTACCTGGAAGCCTCATCTGCATGATAAAACCTTGGTCTCCACAACCCCTTATAATCGTAACCAGCTATTCCTTTCTATTTACTTCCAGGTCCTTAGATAATAACTCTTTCAACCAATTACCAGTGAAAAAATCTTTAAGTCTACCTATAAGGTGGAAGCCCCCCAGCTGCCCCGAGTTGGCCCGTCTTTCCGGACCTAACCAATGTACATCTTACATGTATTGATTGATGACTCATGTCTCCCTAAAATGTATAAAACCAAACTGTACCTGACCACCTTGGGCACATGTCCTGAGGAGCTCCTGAGGCTGTGTCATCATCTCATCCTTCACCTTGGCAATATAAACTTTCTCAATTGATTGAGACTGGTCTCAGGTACTTTTGGTTTACAGATCCATTGCTTCTAACTGGCATGGAGTTCCTTAAGGTCAAGGATCTCTCTTACTAACCTTGATTCCCCTTTAGGGCCCAGTGTAAGATTTGCTGCATAGTAGGGACTGAGGAAACAAACATGCATTTAAAAATTTTATCCAACATTTGTTTACTGACACTTACAAAGTGTTGTACCAGGCACTAGAAATACACTGGTAGTAAAAACAGTCTTGGGGCCTGGCGCGGTGGCTCGTGCTTGTAATCCAGCACTTTGGGAGACTGAAGCAAGTGGATAACTTGAGATCAGGAGTTGGACACCAGCCTGGCCAACATGGTCAAACACCATCTCTACTAAAAATACTACAAAAAATAGCTGGGCTTGGTATCCTGTAGTCCCAACTACTTGGGAGGCTGAGGTGGGAGAATCACCTGAACCTGGGAAGTGGAGGTTGCAGTGAGCTGAGATGGTGCCTCTGCACTCCAGCCTGGGCGGCAGAGCAAGAATCTGTCTCAAACAAAACAAAACCAAAC